ATTTTTTATATCTCTTCTTTTTTCTTCATGTTCTTCAATCTTTTCTCTAACTTCCCATGCCTGCTGCTATACATGTATCAATGCCTAGGAGCAAGTGTGAAGCAGCATCTTCAGTCCCATAGACTAAATGACATAAAGAAAGGGGCATGGGATATTTCACTGTTTTCTGACCTCATTAGTATCATAGAATCTTAGAGTGATTAAGGTTGGAAAAGCCCTCCAAGATCACCTGGTCCAACCATCCCCCTACCACCAATGTCACCACTAACCCATGTCCCTAAGCACCACATCCAACCTTTCCTTGAACACCCCCAGGGACGGTGACTCCACCACCTCCCTGGGCAACCCATCCCAATGCCTGACTGCTCTTTCTTAGAATAAATGTCTCCTAAATTCCAACCTGAAATTATGTCTTCATTCTTAAATCAAACCTACTATATATTTATTTGACCTTTTTTGCATGAATCCTTTTATTTTAATTATAGTAAAGCACTATGGAAGGAAGATTGAGCACATTAGAGAAACATAAGTTATGGATTAATAAATGTTATGAATTCTCATAAAAATCAATACTGGCAAGCATTGTGAACAACTTTTAATGAAATTGTGAACTAGCTAGTATTTAGCTTGGGCCCAGCTAGTGTTCTTTCATTGTTTAAAAGAGCTTTCCAACAACAACAACAAAAATCACCATATCAGTATCTTATTAATGGTTTAGTTAAACATTAATAATGCAATACAAAGTAAATCAAGTCCATTTATATATGAGATTTTGTTTCTGCTGCATACAAGGGCCCTTTCTTTAATTAAAGTTGAGTCAATGCTAAAACACATATGTGCTTCTCTTTTACTGATACATGAATACATTTAACTCACATACCTTATACAGTGCTAATTTCTTTACCATACCTTTAACTTTTTAGTGCCAGGTTTACCTTTTACCTGTCACTAAATGTTCTCTGTTTTGTAAAAGTGATCAGGATATTTGATATTTTAACCAAAAGGCAAGAGAATTTAGCTGTATGTATGCAAACAGCTGCTGTTGGGTGCACCACAGTTTCAAAGGCAGTGTCCATTTACCTTTCCAGTCCACTTACACCAACCCTGGACTCTCTTAGGTTGGCGCTGGGAGGAATAGTCCATGAACTTTTATATAGAGTAGCATCCAGGAGTTCTGTCTCTAATGAATTCAGGATACTTACTGACTCGTAAGATGTAAGAGACAGAAAAGGGCCAGAAGGAAGGAATTAGCTACTCCCCAGATCTACAAGAGCAAGCTGGTTCCTCTGTCCCACTCTTAAGAGTCAAGCAACCCCACATTGCTTTATGAAGAGCACTGGGGCTCCTGAAGACCACAGTATTCTTTCTGCAGTGCTAAAACCAACTCTCTGATACGTTACGTTACTTGTAAGATCAAGTATGAGCCAGGCAACAGCCTAGTCCAGAGCACTCCCCACAACACATACAATGTGGGTGTCAAGTCCTTGGCATCAAATGTTGTGTAATCCCACTCCATTCCTCCTGCACTGCACCAGTTGCTAATAACCCCTGTCAGCTACCCCAGTACCTAGCAGCTACCCCTAAGTGCTGAATCCCTCTTCTCAAATGAGACACAAGCTGTGACAGATATCTCCTTTTGTACAGCATATTACATAAATTAATCACTCAGATGATAAAGATTCTCACTCCATTCTGTTAAATGCAATTTTTATGCCTGTAATAAAAATAATAATATATTAAAAAGATGAAGTGATTGGTAACAATATATTCCCTCATCGTTTGACTTCAAACACTACAAAAGGACCAGAAACTCCAAGACTGTCCTCTAAGTCTCCCTGCACCTCTTGCATTTGCAAGCAAGCTGAATTCCTGTTTTGCCAAGAATTTTGAGGGATGCATTTTTTATTTTTGCTCAGCCCCCTCTACTCTCTTCTTCCTTTTATTTCCTAGGGAAGAGACCTTGAAACTTTATCAGCCACTGTATGCACACAGTAGTGTATCTATCTGCTCCCTGACTGATGCAAACCTTATGCACTGCATAGCAACTTCTAGTTTTAAGTAGATCCACTGGTCACTGAACCAATCTGTGGTCTCCAGAGCTTTAAGGACATAGGAAAAGTCCAAACCTGCCCAGCAGTGACAAACTGGCAGTTCTTCAAGGCTGTGACCACTGAAGAATTTACGGTCAAGTCTAAGGACTGATGAAGTCACGGGCTTTGGGATCAAGCAGGGACTAAGAAGGGACGTTCAAAGGCATGGTTCAGCTCAGTCATGTAGTTTCCACAATAGGTGCCTGTTTCCCTTTTATTATGTCTGGATTTGAGACACGGAGTCTTTGACATGACAGCTGTATAAAGAAATATGTCTTTATTGTTACTGAATGTTGCCTTTGTTAAAATCTCACACACATGACTTCCAGAAGGGCTTAAAATCACTGCTTGAGCTTCAATGCAGTTTCCATTGCCCAGAAGCCCCAATAAGGTAAATCCTAATAAATTAGCTAACCCCACCCATAGTTAATCTAGAAATAGGACCCTGTTTACTAATAAACATTAGAAAATTAGGATTGTGATTAATACACCAAATGTAATCCTGCCATGTAATTTAAATTACATGCAATTCATATCATAAATCTGTAACTGCTTCCGGATCCTATAGGCTTCTTGACAGCATTAAATTTCGTAGAAAGTAAAAAATATTTTCGCTGTTGCTTGATTACTTTTCAAACTCCATGTCTGATATGCTCTTCAAAAATCTGTCCCAGTCTGCCTCCTTCTAATATGCAACAGACCTTAAAAAGAAAAATGCATATCTACATGTAGATTATTTATATATGTGAAATGCTTTACAAAAAACATGAGCAATTTCAATGTTTATATCATTTCCCTAAAACAAACTAAGGAAACAGTTGTATTCCTGTTATATGCAACTACCTTGACACAGATTTATGAAAATATACTAAACTTCAAATATTGAAAATACAAACTTTGATTAATTTTTCATTATACAATGCATACAAATGTGCATTGAAAAATGCTCCCAGGAAGCAGACCTCCCATGTAAATCACACGATGAAACATCGAGTTCCCTTTTCATGAAAGTTTAAATCTACAGATCTGAAGCAAGGTCATAGAAAAGTTGTTAAATCACAGACACTCTTTAATAAAAATTACTAATAGAAGGCTGATGCAGGACAGAGCTGTGCTCATGCCCTTGTCCTCAGCATGACCATGATAGGTGTTTGTGCCATCTCAGAGTCCCAAAGTAACTGCAAAGAAAGGAAGAACTGAAGCAGTTTGAGTAAATGAAAGACAGCTACATCCGTATTGTGTATGAAATTATTTATTTAGCATGTGATTGGTAGTCAGTGTCCAGACCTACGATGGGATGCATCCTTAGTGCAGGACCTCCTGGGGCACAGTCCTGCTCTCATCCAGGCCGGCAGCCATTCAGCGCACATGAAGAGGCCAACACAGCATCTGCTGGGAGTGCCTGAGTGTGCACACACACATACAGCCCTTGTCCCTAAATTTCAGGAGGTAGACAGCAAGACAGAGAGGCTGGAGAAAGCTGTTGTCTGCCTGGTGATGTTGGGTGACCACACACAGAGAGGGAACAGGGAAGCATGCCTGAGGACTGTGTTACCGATATAGGCCCTGCTATTCTGTGCTTGTAGAAGGAGGGCACAGAACAGACAAGGTAACCCAAATGTAAAGTAAACTGGGACCACCACAGTGTTCCCATAACTCCGAGAAGCTGAATTTTCTCCTGAGACCTTTATTCCTCCTCACCTGGGCTTTATTTTCTCATACAGTCAGTCTGAAGGGCTGGAACCTGCCCAGGTTCCCCCTCCTGTGAGGCTGTCAGGCCAGTACCTCTCAAGAAGGCCTGAGATTTTTCAAAAAATATATCCAGTGATGTAACTTGCTCGCAAAAAATTCGGCTCAAAACTGAGAAAGGACGTTGATAATGTCTGCTGCCTTATTTAAAATGGTAGGAATTGTATTATCTGAAGGAAAACATAAGGTCCTCTAGTTTATTTTCTCTAGCCTTAGTATTGACCTGTTCAATGGGGGCTGCAAAATTCCAGCTGGTGTCACCAGGGAGGGTCCAGAAACAAAACACAGTTTGTAAGAAGTCTGATACCAGAGTCCCAGTGCTTCCAAGTGAAGCAGTTCTTTACTGGATAACTCGAAAGAAGCAATATAATCACTAGCTTGTTGCTGAGCTTGGGCTCTCATGATTTTTAATTACTGCTTCTGTCTATTGTGGAAATGGTACCAAAGTCCTGAAGAAACAAGACCTTATCCGTTTGGAAAATAAAATTCAGTAATCCTGCACGGCTGGCCCACCGAGGTGATGACTGAGCTAACACGGTACCTTCCTGCCACCTTGTGGCACGGAGGGGTTTGCAACTTTCCATTATATTGCATAATTTTTCCTTCAAGCTATTTGAGTTTTACGTTTCAAATGCTATCTAGTTAAATAACACGGAGTGAAATCTTGGTCTGACTGATGACAATGTCAAAACTTGTTGATTAAAAGACATCTATGCTGCACTAGTTATATTATTTTACATACCTTATTATATTACAAATAAAAACATGTTCAAATGAAACAATGTAAAAATGGGTTTCACTAAAAAATAAATAAATAAATAAATAAATTAGTTATAATTAAATAATCTGAAACTATCTGAAATAATACCTTGCATTTGTAATATTACGACTTCAGCATTTGTATTATTATGAATGCCGATATATTTTTCATTTGGGATGCTTTGGTGTAATTTAAGTTACTAGATACTTTTTCAAGGCTGCCTGGAAAAAAAAAGAAAAAAAAGAAAAAAAAGGAAAAAAAAGAAAAAAAAAAAAGAACCTGCGTCTTTTATATGAGTTCAGACAAGATCCTTGAAGTGCTTGTTCAAAGTTTACTTGCTTTTCAAACTAAAGAAACATATGAGAATGTGCTCCTATCAGATTTCTTGCTCCTGTTTTCAGGTTGGAATCACCAACACGATCTTTGAGCATGGATGCACCAAGAGGCATTAATATCAAAGCACAAGCAGGGAATATTGAGGCTCTTTCCCAGATGGATATCAAACTACAAAGCAGCGATGGTGTGGTGAGTATAAGCCCTTCTGTTTCTGAAGCTGTGGTTCACAATAAATAACTTCAGGTCTTTTATCAGTTATATCAGTTCTGCTAATTGAATTCCTAAGATTCTAGAGGATGGGATATTAAAATCAATGGTGCCAACAAGAAGATATTTATTTGTGTGTTGGATTAAACAATAATGCCAATTGATATAATGCTGTATTAGCTTAGAGAAATGTCTTTTAATAAAACTCTGCTGGAGCTCAGCTCTCTGCCAGTGCTCAGGTGCCCAAGCAGCACTGGGGGCTTCTTGGCAGAGCCCCAGCCCCAGGACTGCTGAACAAAGGCACAAAGCTCTGCAGAAACCATTTAGGCTCTTCTTAATCTACCACCTAGGTCTGTTTGTTTTTATGGCACACTTTATTACATCGTTATCTCAAAAAAAACCATTTGTCCTTCTTTCTCCCATGCAGCTTTTGCTCGATGCAGAAACGGTGCGACTGCCTAAGCTGCCTGAGGGTACAAGAGGTGGATCTGGTATTTCTCAGGGGCTGTATGAAATCTGTGTTTGCCCGGATGGCAAGCTTTATTTGTCAGTGGCCGGCGTGGGCTCCACGTGCCAAGAATACAGCCGTGTCTGCCAGTGAAGCACTAGAAAATGCGGCACGCCCTCGCTATTCTCAGTTTTGTAGTATTGCTAACAAGCATTTACTGAAAGTGGAATTTTCAGAATTTTAAAAACAAAGTACTTCTGTTTATGAAACAAATCTGTATCTACAACTCCGGACTACAGGGTGAAAGGGGAAGAAGAGCACAAATGACATTTCAACTTCAGAAGAATGACCTGAGTCAGATGATATGTTCTGGCAGTCACACTTTGAAAACATCCTGACAGAGAGCGTAAGGAAAAATAAAGGGAGTATGTTTTCTTGCTGAACTATTATTCCGTCAGATGATTATGTCATTACTAATATTTCTGAGCTCCGTGTTTTTTTTCTCTCACTACATGTAAATACTTACTGCATTAGTGGGTGAAATTAAATTGAGGGAACTACTTGAACTATTTGATAAGACAATGCATTATTTGGAGAATTAAGACAGTGCCAGCAAATGGTCTATGCAATTTTGTTCTTGCAATAACACAAAATAGGAAAGATGTGCTATTTGTATAAGTCCTGTGTAAAAGGTGTTAATTTGCTAATAGCTTTTTATTTTAATTTGGCAACATACATGCTGATTTGCGTATTTCCGAGATTCACATAAAAATAATTAATACAAGAAGTTACAGGAGTTATTTATACCTTATGTGTCTTCAATACTGTTCACTAAAGAGAAGAGAAATATGTTTGTATATTTTATAATAGCAATAGTTTGTTGTACTGCCTGTACCATCACACTCATTTAAACCCCTTTTTGATTTTAGGACACACTAATCCAACAAGGCAATTTACTCTGCCAGCTCGACCACTAAAAACAAAATAATTCTTAATGTGGCTCCAGATTGTCTGCTACAAGGAACTGTCTGGGCGGTGGGGGAAAAAAAAAAAATCATTTCCATCTGCAGCTGTTGACTGATATCTCTGATCCTATCAGAGTGGGACTCCATCACAAATGGAGGCAGTAAAATTATTCTTTATTATTTTTTATGTTAGGACTTTGGATACAAAGTAAATTCTCACCAGAGCTGACAAACCATTTATTGACCTTGTAGAGAAACACAACCACAGACCCATTCCCCTGTACAGTGTTGCACCGAATGCAAATAAATTGTTTGCACACCTCTGGGTAGTAGGATTTGTATTAAATAATCTGTCATTTAAACCTCATCGTCTTTTTAACCCCATTGATGCTGTTTTATATACACTTGTTATTATCACCCAAGTAGGAGCTGCTATCACATTGTGCCTTGGGGTCTATTTACAGAAGGATTTTAAACCATAATCATTATTAGACCACAGAATGCCTATCCTTCACAGAAAATAATCTTCATCCTTAAGGCAGGAGAATCAGAACAAACGACGAAGATTGTACCGTGTTTTTACACTTGGTACTTCAGCTTTGGTGGACAACTGAAGAAACCAACACTCAGTTAAGATCCCAGATAGCTACAGAAGCCTGAGTTGAAAAAGAGCCCCCATTTAACAGTATCTGTTCTTATTGCAGCAAAGCCCTGGGTAGTCCCTGTCTCGAGGGCTGCCTTTGTAATTTATCCAATGATGCTAATGTACAGCCCTGAAATTACCCTTCATTAGCAGGGTGGAGCTCTTAGCAATTCCTGCAAATTAGAAGAGATTCAATGGGAAAAGTAGGAAAAGTGTGAGAGTTGAGTTTTTGGGTCCTTTCAGGCAAAGGAGGCAATTAAATCCAGGTCTCCCTTAATATTTGGAGACTACTCTGACTGCTAACATCATGCCTAAGGGAGAAGTAGGAAGCCACACATCCTCCATGTCTAAAATTCCTTATTTCTGGCTTTAGACATCTATCTTCAGGAGTGAATCCAGGGCTCTTGGCCCTAAAGAGGGGAATGTATCTCTACTACTGAATAACGCAACTAAACTCTCAGCTGAAACAACCTTTAACAGAAACCTGTTTTCAGCATTAATTTAAGTTAGTTAGGTGGTTCCAGCTCCATGTACAAGTTTTTCCAGGCCAAATTATGAGTAGTCATAGCTTATATATATTAGATGAAAATTCTATATATTACAATAAAAGACAGCAAATTCCACTGCATGTGCCAGATACCTAAAAACTACTGCTAAAAGAAACTTGGAGTGCTGTAATGTCCAGAAGTAGTGGAACAGCAAAAGAGGGAGTTAATCCTCAGAGAGTTAAGCCACTGTCTAGTTTCAAAGACATCTCATTTTCCTCATACCTACATTTCCTTCAGCAAGGACCATATACCCACTTCTGTTTGGTACCAAACTGCTCATCTATCTGATTTAATCTCTACATTTTAGCCAGAGACTGAAAATAAGTACGTTATTAAGTAAAATAAGTACGTAAAATAAGTACGTCACAATCTGCCTATTCTGCTGGCAATGAAAACAGCATTTTTAAGTTACTCATTTTAAGCTTATGTTTTGGAGGCACACTTTCAAACATGAATTGCCACTTAATACAGTCAAAGGGATAACATCCAGGCTTCCCATATTACACAAGAATAACCTAATGCCTAAAATGTTGGGTATTTGGAGGCAAGGTCTGTTGCAACTTCATCCATTGAAGTTGCTCCATCTTAGTTAACATTTACAAAGCTGTGGTGTAGACCTAAGAAAATAGGGGTGCCATTCCCTGGCTAAGTAACACTACTGAGCATTATAGCACCTCAGATAGACATTGCAATTACTGCCTTTCAGTGGAGGTAATCCTTTTTGACTTGCCTAAGTTCACAGGTGAGTTCTGGGTAGTACAAAACTGCTGTGTACCAGGCTGGGCCATCATCCCAACCACCAGTTTGCCCCTCTTTATTTTTTTTAAACTTCAGTCTCATTTTCATTATTCTGCAAAACTGATGTTAAAACATAATTGCATCTTTTAAGTTGTGAAGTGAAAAGCCGCAGAATTTTTAAACCCTGGATAGCATCTTCTTGTCATTGAAGAACATTTCGGGTATTTTTTCTTTTAATTGTGGTTAGTAAAGAAACCAAATTCATGCTAAAATTATCACAGTGTAATCAGCTGATGCTATCATCTGAATTGTTAACATCAGTATAGTTCATACATCACTAACTTATCATTTCTGATATCTCCATGTGGCCATCCTTCCATCAACCTTTATTACTTCCATATTATTGCTTCTACTTGAATCAAACTCTAGTAAAGAGTTAAGAGATTAACAGAAAATTATGGCACAGGAAAATGAGAGTATGCACTTCTCTGATTTATTTACAAAAATGTTAAGCAAATGGAGGAAAAAAAGAAACACCCAGCATCATGAACAGTATTTTTCCCCAAAAAAGAACTACAAATGGCAGTTTTTGTAGCTGGTTGGGATTACTATACAGTGGAAAAGTAAAACATCAAAGCAGTAGTAAATACTTACTGATAATTGCCCAAACACTACCCTTTGTTTCCATTTCACAGGCCTTTAGTATTTACATTTGTTTATATAACTTTATGCAAAAGGAAATTGCAAGAATTAACTGAAAACTGAGTTCTTGAATAAACTTTATACATTTTGAAAAATCTGCTTCTCCTTTGTGTTCAAACAAAACTCACCTTAATTGAATGTTTTTATGTTTTAAAATGTGATTGTCTTCCCAAGACTCCAAGAACATGAAATTAATGCTATTTAAAAATAGGACTAAATTTGGACCATGACTGAAGATTTACTTCACAGCATTGAGACTATGCTTTGCAATTAGGCTTCACTGGTCATCTAGAATTTCTTTGTCTTCATTAGTAGTTGGTGAGAGAAAGCAAAATATTATGCCAGTGCTACTGAATTAATCACCTGGAAAGCAAACCAAAGAAAACGTGAAGAGCTTTGGTAAAAAACTCATTGACCAACACCTCCATGTGACAAAAACATGCGTCTTCTCCAAGTGAAAACGTCTACTTCGTCTGTCAAGTTTAATTATTCTTGAACTATTATTTCTGGCAGTGTTACACAATGTCAATCCAGCCATCTTCAGACTGTTCAGATCTGGCAATATGAAATCTTAAATTTGGTACTATCTTTTTTTACTTTAATTGTAACAATTACAATAGATTTTATTAAAACCTCTTTTAAAGTAACCCAAGTACCAAATTAATTCAAACCATACACTAATAGCTCTTAAACTAATCTTACTTTTCCAATCACCACTGTAACTTTATTTTGATGACAATTAAAGCACAAATATTAAAAACCATGTTTCTTTACACAACTATTTTTTCTTTTAGTAGTTGCCTACACAAAAATTTATTTCCTTTTAAAATGGCATTTTTTTTCTCACTAAATGCTGAGGCAAGTGAACAACTCCTTTTCAAATAGGAGCTAGTGCTGTTGAGAGGGAAACTTTTGAAACTTCCACAAGGAAATAACATAGCAACAAACTCAACAAGACTCTACCATGACAGCTGCTTAGATTTAAGCTATTGATTGATGGTTCAGTCAGTTTCCCATAGCAGTTATCCTTGTTAAGCCTCGAAACTGTAATCCTTGAAGACAGGACTGCTGTAGCTCCTTTTAGAGACACACAATATTGGTGCATATGGATATATAGCTAGCTGAAAAAAAACTTTTTCACTCATGAATTTGCGTAATGTGCAGAATTACTTGTAAAAATTATTTTTGTGGAACCTGAATGCAAACATTTACTTTTACAGACCCTCACTAAGCTTCATCACAACATACTGTTCAGTTTTCACGCTGAACTTAGGAACAATACTATGCATTTCCAAAGCTCCCAGCTGAGCCAAAAGAAAACATGAATTAAGGTGTTTTGTTGTTGTTGTTTTTGTCCCCCTCTAGGGATTAAAATACCCTTATGAAATCCATCTCTATCACGTTTTCCTGGTCTCATGAGGCCTCTTTACTTAGGCTGTTACAGAAAGTTAACCAAATGAAAATGGAGACTTCCAATGTAGACACCCACTCTTGCCTGTCTTTCTATACTCATATGTAAATTCATTTACAGATGGCATCAACACACTAATACAATAAATTATTTATTCTGTGTCATTCAGGTTTTCTTGCTTATCTTGGTTCAGCATTTAAACTTAATTTAGACCATTTAGCTTCCAAAGAACTGGGACCATTTCTTTCTTATAGCATCAGCACCCGATGATATATCCGACATAGTTAACAAAATAGCTTAATAATTTTGCACAGCAATTTTAGTGGTTCATAATGTCAATGCTGCAACATAAGTTGCTTACAAAACTTAGTTACCTACTTTAAAGATTTTCTTCCTCACAATCTCACCTAAAAATGGAAGCGTTCACATAGCTTCTCTGCTTTTTCCATGCCCCCCTGCTACCTTGTATTTTAGGTGTACTTAAACTGAAAAGCAGGGAGAACTATTCCCCCTTGTTTGTATTATGCTTGTTCTGAATACTATTCAACCGTCAATACACAAAATAAGGATGAGCAACAAAAGGGTGTTTAAAAAATGTATAGGGAATTAACTGATTTATTTCATGGCACACAAGAAGTTTTGTGATTTACTTACATGCTATTTATTGAAAAAATCAACAAAATGTACAATTTCTTGAGAAAATCACAAACATTTGTCAGTGTGAGAAAAAATGCATTTTTCCTTTTTAATATTAGTATCTGTACAATTGTTTAGAATTGAAAAGATTGCATATAATAGAAAGCTTGAAATAATAGTTAAATTTAGTCTACTTTATAAAACCAAGACACATCAGACTGAAGTATGCTTGCATTTTTATTAAAATTATGGCACTTAATATTTAATAGCAGAAATAATAACAGGGCTTCACAACCAGAAAAAATATCACTTTCCAAACATCAAATTTCTTCCCACTACTGTTAATTATTTGCAAGAGCTTCCAGAATATTTTCAGAGAACAAGCCCTTTACAGATTGCACAAAACTGAAGAAGCTTTTGTCATGACTTTTCTTTTGGATTTTAACACTTCTAACAGCTGTATCAGCCCTGCAAGGTCACTGTTGTTTATTTTCCTTTGCATTCTGTAAGTTAAATTACAGTTTTGCTGTGCTGTTGAGTAAACAATCATAGCAGCATGTCACTGGAAAGTGATTAACATGTTAAGTGTGGCTGACCCAGTAAAGAAGCAGCCTTCTGTTTAGCATTATCCTTCATTTTATTTTATTTTTCTACAAATAGTTAATGTTGAATATATTGCATGACATTACCAGAAGTATTATGAACTATGAAAGAAAGAGCATGAACTAAAAACCAGACTTCTGCAGGGCTGTAGCGAGCAACAAAACAAAAGTATTACATTGCAGCACCTTTACATATGTAACAAAAGAAAACAAAAACAAAACAACAAAAAAAAAACAGCACTCACTGTACACCAGAAATGTGTTACTGAATTGTACTACTACCAATGTTTGTTTGTGGAAAAGTATATGTATATATGTACATGCACAAAGGCACACATAAAAAAAGAAACTCAAGCATTTAGACATCTGAAAACTGGGTTTTGGTGTGTGGTTTTAAAAAAAAAAATCATCATAATACACTGTATAATAATGGTCAACAATATTGCATCATCCACATGCATTTGTTCATTAAACAAAAGAAGACAGGTTCTAGAAAAAAAAGAAGTAAATTAAATAATTATTTTACAATGAAGTAAATGCAATCAATGCATGACATGAAGTTGCATGTTAAATCAAGTATCATTATTCAGGATTAAAGTACTGTACCAATTCACAGATACTAAACAATCCTTTAAATGTTCACAAGGAGAGACTGCAGCAAATTTATAATCAGATCCAGCTGATAAGAATATTACTGTAATTGACGTGAATGTCCATAGAACGCAAAAGAAAACAAATGGTTTGGAGCAGTATCTCCAATGTTATTTTATTTTCCATCTTGCCTCCTATTTCATAGTATGTCCAGTCTTAAGATTAGTACATTGAAAAATGGCATAATCTATTTGGAAACATAATATTAAATGAAGTAAAATCTAATGAGGACTTATATTTACAGGCTTCATCTAACAGAAAGCTAAGCTTTGGTTATATAAAGTGCAGATCAATAATATGCCAATTAATCACGATACTATACACACAGCTAATTTTTGCAGCTCAGTTTCCTTGGAAATTTTTTAAAATATTCATGTTTTACAGTTTGCTTATACAGCAGGCTCAGTTAAAAATAAATCCCATTTAAATAAATTTCAATTCTAAGCAGTTCAGTACCATCCACCTGTGCGCATTATACTTCTAAACTGCTTTGCAATGTTTAACCCCTTGGATGTTCAGTAATCTGCACAATCACATTTGTGTCTCATCACATGGAATACCTAAGCTCTTGACAATGCACCTCTCTAACATCTTCAACCCTCTTACACTTTTTGTTGTATGAAGTTTTCAAGCTTTATTATGATACAAGCAGTACATTCCATCACTCTCATAGCAACTTCTGAAGTAAACCTATCATTTGGAATCTGGGGAAAAGGAAGTAAGTCAGGATACCTAGTTCTTAAGCTATCTACTCCATAAGCTTCCAATGTCTGAACATCATTTGAAAGCCCTTCAAGTTGTTGACTATATTCTTCTATCTTTTGTGCAAGGGCTGCTGGCTTTACATCTTTGTCTGATTTTCCCTTCACAGCATAGTCAGCTGCAATCAAGGCTAGTTTAGTAGAAAGGTAGCATTTAAAGCATACCCATTCATTGGCATTTTTATGGAGATCATTTCTTGCAGCTGAAAAGTTAGCTCGGGCCTGCCTAAGCCATCTGCGTGCCTCTACAGGATTGCCAACAGACCTGAACGTAGGTGGGACAAAAAAGCGTTGCGAGAAAGACGGCCCTGTGGAAGATGGACATTTTTCTTTATGCTGTTGCCTTTCAGATTTGTGGCTTGTTGCTTCTTGGTTCCATGAAGTATAAAATCTTTGAAATGAAAATTTATCTGACTGAAATCGAGAAGCTGAGGATGAAAATGTTCTTCTTGAGGTTCTGTCCATGTTTTGATCCATAAAAGCCTGTTTTTCCATCCGGTTAATCTCATTCTGTAAATGTTTGAAAACTTCATTAGCTATATCAAGATTATCTGCATTTTTATCTGGATGCCATTTAAGATACAACCTTCTAATAATCTTTTTTCTTTCAGATTCTGGAAGCTTCCAAGCCTGTTCAATCACAGATGTCACTTCTCTTAGTATTTCTGGCAAGGAGTTTGGCTTTATCTTCTTTGGAGAGTGATGTTTTGAGGACGTTGTTTTGTGGCCATCTTTACCACTGAAGAGAGGTGGAATTGTTCTCAGTCCATGCGCTGGGAATTCTGTAGGACTAGTTGGGGTAGAAGGAGTGCTATCCCTGCCTTGAGAACTTTCCTCAGGTCTTGAAAATTTGTACAAGTCAAGAGAGCTTACTATTTTATACTCACTATATCCAATATCAATCTGGTAAATCTTCCCTAGAAAACTGTGACTTTCATCATCTTCTCGCTCTACTTCTTGTACAATGATTGCATATGTGTAAGTCGGCTGATATGACCCATATATATCACCACCTTCAGCATCAACAAGATAACCAACATATTCACCAGGATAAAAAACATTCATTGGATCCATAAGAAGTGTATAGTGAATTTCAGCTGGTATAGGAGTGCCAGGTGTTGGTAGTTCAAGTTTTGATGGCTCAGAAGAGTCATACTTCACCCCTAGACTGTCGAGCTTCTCACTGATCCGGTAAATGTCATTGCAACCCAGCATAGCAATTAAATATGAGGTATCAGAAATCAGGTTGTCAGTTGCAGATTTTAAGGTCATTGCTAACGCTAACAGGAAATTTATATCTTTGCTGTCCGAATGCTGTATATAAAGCAGTATTACTGCATTTCCATATCTCTTTAGGAAAGCAAATGTTTCACTTTTACTGTGGGGAATAGGAGCAAAGCCTTTAACTCTTAATGTCGTTTGCAACTTCTCAAAACAGGAAACTTTCAAGCCTTCTCGCAAAGCTTTGCAAAGTCTTATTGCTTTTTCTTCATTAGCTAAAAATGCATTGTCATTTTCATGCTTCATAATCCTAATGAGTCCTGTGATGAACTGTTCTGAAGATAACAGTAATTGTAATCTTCCCTGCAAAGAACATAATGCTCCAAATTGACAAATTTTGGGAGACTCTTCATCCAACTGTTCTTCAAGAATACTGCTAAGCAAGCGAGGCCTCAGTTTCTGAGGGAATAACATTATCAGT